CCCGCATCTCCATGTCTCATAGTGTCTCCACGTCCCCGAGTACCCGAGTCCCGCACCCCCACAGTAACAATGATCCCTGTGAGCAATTCTGCAAGAAAGCCACCCTCGCTTTCCGACCTGATGCCAAACAGTCCAGTTTCTCCCCGTAGGAGTCTGGGTCCCTAGAGTTTCACCAGAAATGAGTTCAGTGCACTTGGGAGCTTGTATCTCCCGATTGAAAAAAACTGGGCGCCCCCAGGTGCAGCCCAGTTCGCGTGCCTCCGTACCTCTGCTCTTGGCGCCTCCACACCTTCTACCCAGCCTCAATGCACTTTTTCTCTTTCCTCTAGTTGTAGGACTTCCACTCAGCCAGCGTTCCTGTGGTTCTGGGTGATGTTCGTTCTGTCTTTTAGTTTTATTTTTGAAGTGGTTGTTCGAGGCAGCAAACTCCGGCGTTAACCTATGCCGCCATCTTGGTTTCTCTTCAACGTTTATTTTTAAATTGCCAGTGTGCATCAATATGTACCAGCCAGTAAGTCAGATGGATGGACAGATGGTCAGTCACTTGGCCTTTTATATATATAGATAGATTGCCAGTGCACATCATATGTACGGGCCGGTCGAACGGATGGTCAGTTACTTAACCTTTTATATATATAGATATTATGTATATACATATAATATATACATGTAGTATATTTTATAATAGTATAATAACTTAATAGTATAATTATTATTTCACAGGTTTATTATAAGGATTAAGTTGTATATAAAACATTTAGAATTGTGCTTATATTAGTATTAGCTGTTACCATTATAGTTAAGATGATCACACTTCAGTATGATGGTGATCACAATGTGACTCTCATGTCAACCACACTTGTCTATGAAATCAGTAGTGCTAAGAACATCACTTTAAAAAAATTATTGCCACCCTCCTGGGTTCAATTCCAGTCAAGGGCACGTACCTTGGTTGCAGGCTCCTCTCCGGCCCTGGCCCTGGTCAGGGCATGTGCAGGAGGCAACCAATCAATGTGTTTCTCTCACATCAGTGTTTCCTCCTGTCTTTACCTCTCTCTGCCACTCTCTCTAAAAGATCAATGGAAAAATATCCTTGGGTGAGGATTAAAAAAGGAAAAAGATTACCCTCCTTTGGCATATGCTGCCCCTCTTCCCCCAGTACACCTGGTCTACAAACAGCAGGGATGAGCTTGTTTACTTGTTTTGCACATATGGCCAGTTTATAGGAAGTGATTTTATTAATACTTGTATGTTATATCATTAAATCTGAAATTCCCACCAGGTCATTATAGACTCTTAAGTGACTTGAGCTGTATTTGATGGGGAAGTGGATTTGCTGCAGGTCTAAGCATGAGGGTGGTGGGTGGGCCACGTCCCTGTATCGAGGTCATGTCCAGTCGTTGACTCCCACCTGCAGCTTGCCCACGGCTGCTCCGAGTTCCATCCCCACCAATACCCAGATCTCGGTGCTGCGCACACCGGCTGCCTGAGGATAGCAGTGGGCAGCAAATATAGGGCTGCTAGTGTTTCTCCTCTGTATCTGTTAGTTATGTCATTTCCTTTGGATCCCTGGACTATAACAGTAGAGACATAATTTTGAATTAATGTTTAAGCTTAACTCAGCTGGCCTGTGACTCCTGGCAGTCAGCATCCTGAGTCACTGTCCCAGGATCCTCGGTCACATCAGGCCTGCAGGTGAGCTTTTCAAACATCATATTCAGTTCCCCACACTGGCCTCTTACAGAGCCAGATTCCTGGAATCGAGCAGGTGTGACATTTGATGTGTACCTGGAGATGAGAAGACCGAGGCACAGAGGGATAAATAACTTCCAGCGAGCAAGTAGCAGTGACCTTTCTGTTCTGTGGGAGCAGTTTCAGCTGAGAGTAGACTTCCATGATCCGGTTCCTAACCTGAAATGTAAGCGTTTCCGTGGGCACAGAGCGTGTTAAGTGCTGTTTCCCTCCCTTCGGTGGCTCATTCTTCCAGACACTCCTTTGGGCAAATGGACCAGCAGGAGGTCAGCAGCAAGTTTTCTAAGTCGGAAATCTGTGTCTTTCAAAAGGGAATATTCACGGCTTTACTGAAATAAAAATCGCAGGAACTGGCGTCTCATGCCACTTTTAGAAAAAAGTGGGATATAAATATAAAATTTAAGGAAATCCACTTAAGGAACTGCTAATGACGATCTTCAACACTTTTGAAAATGTGCACATGATTTATGAAGGAGATAGTTAATCACATAGAAAAAGAATAACACCAGATATGCAAGCATATAACAGGCAGCAGCTATCCTGACTGCCTTTGTAAGTGCCTGGGGTAGCTGAGATTAAAATTATTAAAAATGCTATGAGTTGAGGGGTTGGTGGGGGGGTGGAGGGGAGTCAACTGGGGAAAAAGGAGACTTATGTAAAACTTTAGACAGTAAAAAAAAGAATGGTATGACCTACTGAGCTGTCATAAAGTTACTTACCAGACTCACAGTGAGGTGATGCTCAGATGAAATTATGCATATGAAAAAGTACTTTGAAAGTATAATTGTGGAATCATTAGTCATTTTATTTGTTTTTAAGGAGTTTTGAAATGCAGTGAAGTTCTATATTGGTATAAATGGGAACAGTATACAAATGTGGAAGCAGATGTGATGTGGGGAAGAGGGGTTGTGTCAGGATGTGACATGGGGACCATATTGGAAAGTTAAATAAGTAGCACAACCTCTGTATAACTCTGCAGACTTGAAGAGGATGAGGCTGCCATACCTATACTGAAACGTTCTCCAAGATGTTCTGTTGATTAGAAATAAAACACAGAAGAGCGTGTATAATATTGTCTGTGTAAAAAAATCCAAAAGTCGCCCTAACCGGTTTAGCTCAGTGGATAGAGCGTCAGCCTGCGGACTCAAGGGTCCCAGGTTCGATTCCGGTCAAGGGCATGTACCTTAGTTGTGGGCACATGCCCAGTAGGGGGTGTGCAGGAGGCAGCTGATCGATGTTTCTCTCTCATCGATGTTTCTAACTCTCTATCCCTCTCCCTTCCTCTCTGTAAAAAATCAATAAAACATATTTTTTAAAAAATCCAAAAGTCATACACACCAGCATATACATGTGCATAAAGTATCTCAGAAAAGGAAACCTCAAGAACTTGAAACTAGGAGGCCATCAGGGTAGAAGAGAGATTTAACTCTTCACGCATCACCCTTGTGTGCTTTTGAATTTTCTAACATACGTTACCCATTCAAAAGTAAATTTTTCTGCCATCTAGACTCAATAATTTTGCCCAAGTTCTTATAGATGGTGTTTATTATTTTCCTTTTATTACAATGCTTAATAATGTATATATTTTTATTTTTAAAATCTCATTAGAAATAGCTTTTAAAATTGTGTATATGATCTCTGTCTTCACAAAGCATTACGGAATACATTGTTACTTCGATGAAACTTATTTTATAGCTTCTGAAGTACCCTGAATAGCTATTATTTAGCCTGTGTGAAAAATCAAATGCTCTTTGTTCTCAGAAACTAGAGTTCAACGTCATAAATCATTTGGCTAAAAAGAATAGGAAATTGGTGTCTTCGAAGTGTGAAATTTTATCAACAAATCATACTGTTTCAGGTTGGAGTCATTGCTGGTTGTCAATTACGTACAGAACAAAGCCACCTCAGTGATGGAGCAAGTTGAATTATGTTTTCAAGGGTGCTACCTGAAAAATGCTACCTATGTCACTTTTTCTCAGGCTGCTAATTATTCACAAATAAGTAGCTTTCAGTGTTATTTGGAAGTGTTCTTCCTTTACCCCTCCATGGCCAACCCCCCACACATGCCCTTCCTCCATTATTTTAAGTAATGTTAAAGTGATGACAGTAACACATTCCTTCCATAGGTTTATTATGTGATATTTTACTTGGCTATGCCTGGAATTCTAGATACTAAATTGGGCTATAAATATCGTAGAGCAAAGCCAATGTTCACCTTCATTTCTGCTAAAGGTTCGCCAAAAAAGTGGCAATGATTAAGATGCTCATTTACCAGAGTTTCTAAGTGTAAAATTACGTGTGTGTGTGTGTGTGTGTGTGTGTAAGGCTCCCAAGATGAGTAAATGCAGAATAAATGGTCAGGTGATGGACTCCCCACCCTCTTGGGCTCTGCCATCTAGACCTAAATCCAGGTCCATCTTACACTGACTGGCCCATAAGAACCCAAACAGCCAGTTTGGTTGGGTTTTCTTGTCTCCATATACACGTGTTCTGATCTTCCCATCTTAGCAGAACACTTCTCTGCTTAGGTCAGGATCTATCTGGAACAACAGAGAAAAGTCAGAACTTATGTCCTGCCCCAGCCATTCCCTGGCCCTTATCCCTGTTTGTTTGTCTGTTAATCCTCACTTGAGGATATTTTTTCCATTGATTTTTAGAGAGTGTGGAGGGAGAGAGGAGAAGAGAAAGAGAAACATCGATATGAGAGAAACATATCAATCGGTTGCCTCCCGCACACACCCTCACTGGGGTGAGGGAACGAACCTGCAACCCAGGTATGTGCCCTTGACCAGGAATGAACCCGCCCGTGATCCTTGGATGCGTGGGCCAGTGCTCTAACCAGTGAGCAACACTGGCCAGTGCCCTTAGCCCTCTTTAAAGGTAATGCTGCTATCAGGTGAATGTGTGACGCTGTGTAGGGGATGGTTGATGAATTATATTTTAAGAGGGCGGGACTGTCAGCACTTTTACAACTAATGCTCAGTCTATAGGTGATGTTTACATCAACAAAAAGATTAAAATGTCTGTTTTCAACTTGTCTTTTCTGTTTTACTTAAAGGTATGACATTGGCATTTGCAGGATCGTATTTGTTGGTGAACTTTGCTCCAAACATATCCCAGGCTATCTCTGCAAGAACAGTACAGTATTACTTTGTTGGCTGGCAGTTCCTGGTCTATGTGGTAAGCATTCTAATGACGGTGGCAGAGCAATGTTATCTAGACCGCTGGTACATGCAGATGTTAGAGAACTAACACAATATCTCTTCTCAGCATTAATATCTCATTACAATGCAAACATATTTGACCAACATGAAAGTATTTGAAGCACTAACTCAGCAATAGGCGTCCCCAGCTTCCCAGGTTTCCCTTCCTTGAGGGTGACCTGTGACTGGAACAATTCCCACAACATTGGATCTGGCCAATTTCAGAGCATCATATTTTAGGACAACTCAAAAGTAAAAACAAACAAACCCCAAAGAAACCTCTCTCCCGAGTCCAAAGGGAAGTACCTGAAGACCCCTTTTTCTTCCTTGAATTTTATTCAAGATAGATATTCTCTTCAAAAAAGTTCTCATTGAGAACAATGCAGTAGGCTGTCTGTGGAGAAGCAGGCCACAGTGGGAGAATGCTGAGAGATGTGCAAAAGAAGGAATGGAATGAGCTGGTACAGAAATTGGAAGCCACTAATTGGGACAATTTATTTGCTGCAGTGGCCATATCCAGTGGGTGTAAAGAGAGGACATGGTATGTAACTTTTTACAGGAGTCGGTGTA